CCCCTACACGGGCCATACTAGGGAGGTTCAGCAATGGATTACTTGCTGGCCATACTCCCCCGCCCGGGCGGGTGTCGGGGCCTGCGGCTATTGTCCGCCCCGGGCCCGGTCCGGGGGCCCGCTACCTGCTCGCCAGTAGGGGAGATCTGGACACTTTTACTGACGATTCCTAGCGCGCCGGCCGCCGAGAGTAGGGTATAGTCTCATACTCCCTACTTTCTACTTAACTTTAAGTAAAATATCCCCATGCCTTTAGCATAGGCAGAAAACGGCACAGCCAGCCGACTTCCCTACGACTTCCCAGCATTTCTTTTTACCTCGGGGAGTGGTGGCCACCTCGAAAAAAAAAACAACAACGAGAAAACAAACAATTTGACGAACACAAACATTTTTTCGGTAAACCGTGATGGAAACGTGATTCGGTTAAGAGTTAGACAATGCTGCGTAAAAAAATAATAGTGCAATTCCCGGACGGGTGCGGCGAGTTGTAGTGTGGCGTGGCATGGCGTGGCGCTGGCAATAAGGCGCGCTGCCGCCACCGCCTTTCCCCGGGGGCCCCGGCGCTAATAATAAATAACCCGACGGCGAAATGCGCCTTTTCGATTACGAATGTTGGTTTTCGCGGGGCGGCGGACGGTTTGTCTGGACGACCCACTGCCCCACCAGGCCCGCCCGAGAGGCCCGCCCGCCCGGCCGACAGCGCCGCGCTAATCATTATTGAGCGAGCTGTGCAACCAGCGGTGGGGTTATAACTCCGGAAACAGAAGTGTGCGGATGTCCCACACTACTTGTGGACGTGTGACTACACATTCGAACACTTATAAGGTAGTAAAAGTGAGATTTTTTTCTTTGAAATTCACACATTTGTTCAATGTGTACGAATGTTGTTCACACACCCTCACTCTTTATTTAGTTCGGGGTCATATGGTATCGCATAGTGCTAATCTTTAAAATGAAAAAAACAAAACAAAAAAAAACTGTTGACGTATTTCAAAGATAGAAAACCGCAAATGGGTATGTATGTATCGTGTGAATTTAGTCATGATGTGCCTAACAACATTTACTAACCATGACCTTAATACCAAAAGGGTATTGCTAGGAATAGTTTTACTTGCAAAGCACTAGTGGTGTCGTTGGATCATGAATTTACAGGTCTTACACATGAACATATTTGAAAATGGTTTTCTAACTAGAAGAAAAGCACACACCAAAAAAACGAAATTATGCCAGACAAAGCTATACCAGAAAACTTGCAATGCATCACATTAGTTCATTCCGAGCGAACACACGCCTACTCAAAAACTCACGAGGAAGGGAGCGGAGAGTGGGGCCGTGCACCGCTGGTGCAGCACTCGCACGCGCGTGTGCGTGCACTGCGCGCGTGCACTGTGCGTGCCGCGGAGGCGCGTGCGGGCGGTGACAGCTCGCCGGGGGCCTCCGGGATGTGGCCCAGGAATGTGGACATGTAGAGTGAGTCCGGCGGGGTGGCCTGGCGTGGCGCATGCGCAGCGCACTGGGGCTGGCTGACACACATACATCCGCAAGGCGCCGCGGCCGTGTGGGAGCGGCCGGCCCGAGGGGCGGCCCGCACCAGGCCGCGCCGTGCCTTATGCACAGGAGGGTACGAACATCATGCCGACCGCAGAAGTTTCAGAACCAGTCTGAAAACCTTAAAACCCGAAAAATATTATTAATATCATGGTGTCCCATGAGTACCTAAGCGCTGGCTCTGAACCGTCAATGGGTGCCATAATATTTATAGACTCACCCCCTTTTTTTTCAGAGCAGGTCATAAGTGCACAACCAAAAACATTTTCCAGCTCGTTTTTCAGTAATTACTAGAAATACTTGCATACAGCAGGTGGCAGGTATGACATACTGTCCGAGCGAACAGGTCGCTGTCCATCGCCCCCCTGCTCCCGCTCACACTCACACACATGCACTTGCTGCACATCACGGCTCGCCGCGCCCCGCCACGCCACGTCACGACTCGCGTGCATTATGTGTGGCACTAAGGCCCCTTTCTAGAGGCGTGCTGCCTCCTTTCTTCGTGTTCTTTTTATCCAGCTGGCTGAATGGTCCCACCTGCCGCCGCCGCCTCAACCTGCAGCACCCCTCTCTCTCTCTCTCTCTCTCTCTCTCTCTCTCTCTCTATTATCCTTCCGTGCCACCCCCGCATACCGCCCGGCACACACGCTCTCCTTGCGGGTTATTGATTGATGGTCGCTTGTGGTCGGTCCGCTGCCCTTCGGAGACGCCACTTTTTCAGGCCGCCCCGCGCCTGCCGAACTCCAGGGGCCCCCTGCTGCGATTTGCGACGACCTTGTCGCATCCCCCCTTTTGCTCCGCTGTTTTTACCATCAGGCGTGTAATTTGTCAGTGCTTTATGGTTTCTGTGCTCGCCAGCAGCACTTTCTCCCCACCGAGTGCTGCGGACTTGGCTCCGCGCGGAGAGTTTATCCGACAGACAGACGAGCGATGCCCGAGGGGCGGGATTGATAAAGCAGACTCCCTTCCCCTTCCGGCAAATGTCAACCACATCTTCCTTTCCACACAAACTCCAACTTCTCCCCCCCCCCCCCCTTCACTCTCTCTCTCCCTTTTCTCAAACTCCCTTCTCTCTCGGTCTCAGAAGGCTCAGACAGGCTAGGCAACTTTTTCAGTCGTAAAACCAAAGCACAGAGCTTTGCAGCCACAACGTACGGTTGGCCACAGTGGAGAGTTACGATCATCTCTCATCTCTCCTCTCATTTTCATCTCTTTTCTCCTTCTCGTCCCTCCTCTCTCTCTCTCTCTGTCTCTCTCTCCCCCCTTCTCCCTGTCTCTTCCTCCCTCTCTCCGCCAAACGCGTGCGCCGCGCGAGATTTTGCAGCTTTGGACGACGCAAGTCGTAAAAGGTGTGCGAATATTGATGGTTGGCTGCATTGGGGACGCAGCAGAGACGGACGGTACTGGACGCAAGTGGGCTGGCATAAAAAAATATCGCAACAATAATATTCATCATCGCTGTTTTATCGAATGATTTTTTAATTTTTTTTTTAGCGAAAATGGTCAATAATAATAAGAGGTAGCCCGCTGTGGCCGGGAGGTGTGTATGAGCGCGCAAGGTTAGGCGTGATCAGTCATCCAAGCGCCATTTTATTGCATCTGGGGCAGTATATATATTTTCTAATTATGAGGTACGAATAATGAATGGCCTCGTATCGACAGGCTGCTTGTGAATCGCCCTTCTCTTCTCCCCCTCCCCCACTCTCTCTCTCTCTCTCTCTCCACTCTCTCTCTCTCTCTCTCTTCCCTTGCCCCTCACTCGTGTAACAACGTGTAACCTTCCTATTTATTCCTTGTAAGTGTGCAACTGCAAGTTAAATACTTGCAAGTGTGCAACTGCAAGTTGAATACTTTCAAGTGTTTAACTCGGTAGGTGAGCACTTGCAAGTATGCAACTCCTCAGTTTAGCACATCCTACACAGTGACGGTTCAATCTAAGGAAGTGTTCAACCGAGGGGTTGTACACTTGCAACTGCACACTTCAGTGTTGAGCAGTTGAACACTTAGATTATCAGTGAAGTGTTTCTATCGTTGCCTTTCACTACTTTTAACAAAAACCTTGCACTACATGAGTGAGCAAAAGGAAGAGGAAGGGGGGGGGGCTATTCTGAAGCCATCAAGAACCGAAGAGAGATGAGGGAAGTACGGGACCAATGAGTGGAGACGTTGGTAATCCTGGCGCCGTCAGTAAGGACTGCCCGCACACATATGCATAAAAGCAACACGCAACTCACTGTGTGCGTGTGCGTGTGTGTGTGTGCAGTCACACAGCGAGTGCCAAACATTCCCCAGCTACCCTACGCTTCTTTGAGTTATGAACGCTGAATCAGACATGTGGCAGGTGATAGCCACGGTTATGATCCATTAGTTTGCACTGGAATTTTCACGCAGAACGATAGGAGAGCCAAAAGCACCCATGCCTGTATACACTGTAAAAAATACCGTAGGCAGTTACGGTTTGCCTACGGTCCGCACCGTATTTTCAGCGTACGGTCAGGCCGTAACAGTATGAACTGTACTTTTTTGTTTGGGCTAAGAGCTGTATTCGACTTCCCCAACATTTTTTCAAGTTACGGTCTGTTTTGTATGACACGGACCGTAACCAAAAATTACGGTGCCGGACCAGGCAACAAATTTACAGCGCAGACCGTAGGCCTTTACCGTGTGTTTTTCCAACAGTGTATCTGACCAACGATTTACTCTTCTAGGAAAAAGAAAAACGCCACTTAAGATTTCTCTAAAAATAACACATAGGTTAAATCAGAATTTATTTATTTTTACAAACGAGAATTTTTGATCTTTGATTCCTGAGCGTACTCAAATATCGATTAACAGGATTTCTCGTGCTACTTGTTTACCTATCACTGTCTGTCTGTCTCTGTCTCTCTGTCTGTCTGTCTCTCTCTCTCTCTCTCTCTCTCTCTCTCTCTCTCTCTCTCTCTCTCTCGCCCGGGCGCGTAACCCGGCGGCGGCGGCGCGGCGCTGTGTGGCCAGTGACGGCGGGTGGGGAGGGAGAGAAGTTCGCGGAAAGCTCGTTTTGACGGTAAGGTTATGGTCGCCATGCTCAACTAGCTCATCAATGTTGTTTGTCATTAAAACTCTTGCTGCTGGCCGCCGCCCGCCCGGCCGC